ATATATTCAATAATTCATGCACATTTTGTTTCATGACATTGATTGCAGTCCTCACAATGATTTGCATTTTTCAAAAGGTAAGGAGACCTGTATGTCTGACGATGGGTTATAGTGAGCCATTGGTTTTTGACATTGAATAGTTACCTCTTTGTTTTGTGTGTCTGATATAACCTTGAATTTTTGTCCTACCATTAAATTCTAGTGAATCCATTGCAGAAGAGACACTGAGAAAGGCAAAGGAGATTGGATTCTCAGACAAGCACATTTCAAAATGTCTTGGGCTGACGGAAGCCCAGACTAGGGAGCTGAGGTTGAAGAAAAACATCCACCCTTGGGTTAAACAGGTAAAGACGTTTCCCTTTCTTCCCAGGATTTTCTGTGTGAAATGTATATAACAACTCAAAAAGCTATTGCCAATAGAACCAACCCAAATGAATCCTGTTGCTATTGAGTCCATTCTAACTCATCGCAACCCTATATAGGGTTTCCAAGACTGCAAGTCATTACAAGAGCAGAGAGCTTCATCTTTCTCCCACTTGGAAATAAAAAAAAAAAAGAGGTGGAATTAGAAAGTGACTCTACTTGTCCAACTGATGCTGGGATGTCACCAATTTTATTTAGCAAAAGATTGATTTATCTTTAAAAAGATAAGAAGCAGGGGCACTGGGAGGTAGACCGCAGAGTGAATATCTGCTTTTCTGGACCTAACTGAATGTGAAAAATCAGAATGACCTTTCCTCTGCTTTTGACCTGTATCCAGATAGATCTGTAGTAAGACAAATCCTTAATGTAATAGAGGGACTTGAAATACCCTAGTGTGTTGTCTGACCCTTGTGAAAAGAATAGTTATCTCCTTTGGCACTAACTTTTTACAGGACAATACTTTATTTTAAGTGCGCCATCATTATGGTTCATTTAGTATTCATTGTGATAGGGCCAGGTATAATGAGCTCATCCAGTATTCATGACAATCACACATGCACTTTCAGAGGTGTGCCTGTCATTTTTTTCTTTTCTTTTTTGGGGTCTTTAGTGAAGCGATGATGCCTTAGTTTAAAGTACCACCAGCTGGTTTTCGTCATTGACTTTTAAAATCATTGACTTTCCCTGTGTGCTCAGGGGGCATATGCATACCTTTGGGTCCCAGGCTTGATGCTGAATATTTTCTATTCAGCAGTTATTATCTTTCTTCCTTCTCACCTGATTTGCACTAGCTTGCCCTGTTGGCCTCACATTCTTGCTCACTAAGCTGAGCTCCTGACTCTGGAGAGCTGAGTTGATTTACTTTCCCCAAATATGTTCAATGAGTTCCCAATCCCCAACTCTCTACCCATGATTTACGGGATTTATGTCACATTGCTCAGTGCCACAGGTACTTAAATCCTATGCATTCATTTCCAAGTCAAAGATGCCCTTATGTTGTTACTGTTGTTGTTGTTAAGTGCCTTCGAGTCGGTTCCGACCCATAGCGACCCTGTACAGGGTTTCCGAGGGTGTAAATCCTTACGGGAGTAGAAAGCCTCATCTTTCTCCCGCGGAGCAGCTGGTAGTTTCGAACTGCTGACCTTATGGTTCCCAGCCCGATTCGTAACCACTACGCTACCAGAGCTCCTTTATGTTGTTATTAGTTTTTTAAATTTATTCCAATTGTATATGCAGTTGCTGTTGTTGTTGTTAAGTGCCATCGAGTCGGTTCTGACCCATTGCTACCCTGTATAGGGTTTCCGAGGAGCAGCTGGTGAGCTTGAACCGCCGACCTTGCAGTTCAAACGGCTTTACAGTCTGGTGCATTAACCCACAGCGCCACACCAGGTTAGGGTCAGCCAAGTAGAGGAAGACACCCAATGAAATGGATTGGTCTAGTGGCAGTTGCAATAGGCTCAAGCATAGCAATTGCGAGGATGGTGTGGGGTCAGGCAGTGCTTAGGGTTGCACATAGGGTGGCTATGAATCGGAACCGACTCAACAGCACCTACAACTACGTATGTGGTTGCTTTATTTAGACAGCTGACTGAGTAAGCTTTCATTAAAAAAAAAAACCAAAAAACAAAAAACTAGTGGTATTCATAAATGTTACTACTGTAGCATTCTAATGATTTCTTGGATTTTATTGCTTAGATTGTAACTAGATAATATCATTGTTTCCCCCCTCCCATTTTCAAACCCAAAATGAGTGGGTTGTACCTTTTTCCTGTCTTCATATCTGACAGTAATTGAGTGTAATCTGCATTAGTGTAGTATGAATGAAGCACAAAAGATGTAAAATCAGCCTTGATCAAAATTAGAGAGGCAAAAGAGAGTAAATTTCCTATCTATATACTTGTTTATTTTTTTCTTGCAGATTGATACACTGGCTGCGGAATACCCATCAGTAACAAATTACCTCTATGTTACCTACAATGGTCAGGTAGGTTCTATGTTACCTACAATGGTCAGGTAGGTTCTATGTTACCTACAATGGTCAGGTAGGTTCTTTGTTACCTACAATGGTCAGGTAGGTTTTGTCAAAGCAACACAAGTAGAAAGCTCTAGATTTGGTTATTTATGGTTATCCAGTCTTCTTAGTAATAAAAATGGCCTCAAGTGGATCCGATGTGATCATACATTTTTGTACTCCTTTAAAAATTGCCTTAGGATGATGAATTCAAACAAGTAAAAATGATTAGGACAATGGTTACATGAACATATAATTTTATCATGAGTATTTAGTTAAAAACACCTTGAACTATATTCACATTTTTGAAATAAGTGTAGCTTGTGTAACACATTATAGTTGGCAGTTCCTAGAGTCTAAAAGAGAATGCCTGCCAATCAGAGGAACAATGAGATAGACACATGAAAAACAAGACAATAACATACAATAATTTCCTTATTGTCTCTTTTTCTTCCTCAGGAACATGACATCAAATTTGATGACCATGGAATGATGGTGTTGGGCTGTGGTCCATATCACATTGGTAAAATGACCATTCATATTTACATACTACTTTATAGTTTATCATATAGTACTTTTCACATATATTAATTACATTATTCCAAGATGTATGAAAAGCAGTTGTTGTTATATTAAATATTTTCTGAATTGGGAAATAGGTTCAGAGAGATAAAGAGTGGTGGACATGGGACTCAAGCCCTGATTTCAACTTCAAGTCCAATCTACTTCCACACCGCCGTGTCGTCCCTTTTTCCACTTACATCTTTTTGAACTGAATTGAGTCTCTCAATTTCTGAGGTTGGAGAATATATTTTAGTGAGCCTAGTGGTATATTTTTAAGTGAGCAATTATATTAGTCAAAAAACAAGTATATTTAATATTTAGTTTCTGAAAGGCATTCTAATATGGAAATGCTAAAATATATGACTTAAATGTATACAGTCATTGTTGCTTTGAAGCAGTTTACAATTTAGCAATTTAATTTTTATAATTAAATAACTGCTTCAGGATATGTTAGTTTACTAATCCTTGGCCAAATCTTGAATTGGGTCCAAAGTCTCTTGACTAAATTCCCTGAATACAGCATCTACCCTTCTTTCTGGGTCTTTCTCCTTCTCTCTTTAAATTTCAGTTAATTTATGACATATGTCTGTATGGCTTTAGAATCCAGGTAAGACTAGGTGAGCTGATAATCAAGCATAGGTATACTGGTTAATAGAAGTTAACATGCTACTATATTTGGTTAACATATTATTTTGATGTGAACTTTTTAGGAGACAATATCTTGAAGCAAAGGATTAATTTAAATCCCAGAGTTTTCAGTTACATTGGAACCCCTATAGAGGTGATATTTTGAGGCACTTAGGCCGTTATTGTACTTGAAACGACTTCATAGAAGGTCACTCACTATGCTCGGGTGGACTTGCCAAGCTTAAAGGGATATGCTTGGAAAGGACAGGACTGTCCAATCAGCCAGGATATGTCAGAATGGCAAGGCACCTCAGGGATCATTTGGCTTAGCCCTCAGACAGCAGAGTATGTGGGAGAACTGAAACAACAACTCAAGAATTGGGATCACTGGCTTTAACTATTGTGTACAAGAGTTCAGTATGCTTTGACTTTAGTTTCAGTAAATAAGGGTTACTTTGTAGCATGAAAATGACCTCGCATTAACTTGGAGCTTCTCAATGCTTCAAAAATGGGGTTACCTATTGTAGACCATAGCCTCTAAAACATGCTCTATATATTTAACATGTTATATTAGTCCCTGTTTTTATTACTCTTAATATATTGTGCATCATAGGTCTGACATGTAGAGTTAGGCATTTAAAAATTTGAACTGAAGGGCCCTCGCTTTCCTCATCCTGAACTGACAGGCGATGCATTTCTGTTTGTCTTTGTGTTGTAACTTCATGCTTCTCTTACCCACTTTTCCCTCTCTTGTCGTCTCTGCAGGCAGCAGTGTGGAATTTGATTGGTGCGCTGTCTCCAGTATCCGCACACTGCGTCAACTTGGTAAGAAGACTGTGGTGGTGAATTGCAACCCTGAGACTGTGAGCACAGACTTTGATGAGTGTGACAAACTGTATTTTGAAGAGTTATCTTTGGAGAGAATCCTAGACATCTACCATCAGGAGGTAAGGAACAAAAGAAAAGAATATGTATCTAGTGCATACTTTATATATGTGCATTCATATATGTAGATTTATATTGTAATTACCCTTAGGAGAAAGAGCTGCCAGTGTCTTCTATTGTCTAATTTTATAGCAAAACTAAAAAATCACCTCAGCCCTATATTTTGAGACCCTGGCACAGAGTGATTAGTTTTTATATGTAACTCACTATTTCTTTCTAAGTGTTCCAGCTTTACCGAAAATTCTTCTTGGTATCATGTGCAGAATTCTTTAATTGGACATTTAGACATACAATAAATAGCCTCTTTCTTGTTTCATGTGAGATTGTTGTTTAATCATGAACAGTTCCCTGAGCAGAGAAGTCAGTTGCTCAAAAGAACCAGTTAATTCTCTGTTCCATTAGCTGAAGTCATCAGTCTTCACTTGACGATCCATGAGTTCATTCTGAATAAATTTGGCTCCTTTATAGCCTTCTATACAGGTGCTCCTCTGCCTGCTCCCCGATATTGTTCGGTGCACAGTCACTGTGGATTTACATCATCGTTGGTTACCATGCTGTTACTGTTGTGATGCGCCTTCGGTCAGTTACAACTTATAGCGACACTGTATAGGGTTTCTAAGAAGCAGTTGGTGGGTTTGAACTGCCAACCTTGCATTTAGCAGCCCAGTACATAGCCTATGCACTACACCCGGACTCCATGGGTATTTATGTGCCAATACCAATGGCGTCTGTAGAAAAATTGAAATTATCTCACAAAATGAACTACTGGAAAATTTCACAGCAAAGTTTAGTTTTTGTGTCTTTTGATGTTAGTCTCCTATTATAAAGAATCATTTTTATATGTGAGATAAAATAATTTAGAGCAAAAAATAAATTGAGCGGGAGTCCCAACGTTTCCATTCTAGTTTTGCCTTGACAACTAACTGACTTGAGCAAGTTACTTTAATCCTTTGTGTTTTATTTATTTAATGAATTATCTGAGTGTAATAGCACAGTACACAGAACTGTGAAAGTAAAATGAGATTTGTAGTTGAGATTATCTTATAAAATATATAGTGTCAGACAATGTGATGATTATATTATTGCAAAGAAAGAGTAGACAAATTATCTGGTATAAATGGTGGTATAAATCATAGTTGTCTATTGAGGCCTGGCCTGCAAATCTTTCAATATAATGAAATATGCTCACCAGGTAGAATTCATACATTTTTTAGTTCTCTCTGGCATTGTTTTTCTAACCATGTTCCTTAATATTCATTTCAGTTATAAAATTAGAGGTCAGAACAATTAACATCCTATGAACTTTTCTTAATCACCTTAAAAATGTCAGGCTCAACAGGATACAGTTATGAAATCAGGGTCTTACTTTTATGACACTAACAGCAAAAGTGGGCTCTATAAGTAGGTGAAAAATGAAAAATTGTTTAAAACATATTAGTTATCATTATAAGAAACAGGGTTCAGAGGAGTGATGATATATAAGACTTGTCACTGTTAGGGTCTGTCTAGTCATTTCTGACTCATAGTGACCTTATGCCCAACAGAATGAAACACTGCCTGGTCTGTCATCCTCATCTTCCAGCACTATATCTGACAATATTTTGGTGGTATTTATTATGTGTCAATATCCAGTCTTCTGGTGCTAACTGACACTGTCTCAGTGCTATTCACAAGGTTTTCAGTAGCTAAATATTCAGAAGTAGTCTGCCTTTTCTTATTCCTAGTCTGTTAAATCTAGAAGCTCAGCTGAAACCTACCATGGTGACCCTGCTGATGTTTAAAATACCAGCGACATGGCTTCCACCATCACAGAAACAGTCAAGCCACCACAGTAGGACAAACTGACAGGCGAGCGGTAGAGATAACACTGGAAAGTCTTAGTTGTCCAGAGGTCTCATTCTTAACACAAGCACTTTTTTTTCATTCTTCAGACAATGCAAGCCTATGGAGAACACTGAGTATGGGAATGTTTTGGTGAAGAAATTTGTAGGTTTGATTAATCTAGGATGAGAAGTGCTGGAATAGAGAAGAACATGAGAATTGAGTGTTACAAAAAGAGATATGAATTCATTTAGGAGATTATAACTGTAGCCCAAAAATTACTTATAATGCAAAGTGCATTGTAAAACTATTCATTGGTTTTATTGTCTTTTTCTAATTGCAATATTTGGAAATGTCACAAATGGTATTCGTGTCTAGTTGTATGGAAGATTTCCATATATACTTAGCATGTAAGTGTCTGGATAGCCAGAACTATGTCTGTTTCTCTCACTGTGGCATGTTATCCACTGAGGAGAGAAATGAGAATATCATAACCATGCTAAACATTATCAGAATAGGAAATGAAGTCAACATCAGCACATTTTCCATGCATGGCAACATTACCCCAGTAGCTGATACTGTGGATGTCTTTTGCAGGCCTGTGCTGGTTGCATCATATCAGTCGGAGGTCAGATTCCAAACAACCTGGCAGTCCCTCTATACAAAAATGGTGTCAAGATCATGGGCACCAGCCCTCTGCAGATTGACAGGGCTGAGGATCGCTCCATCTTCTCTGCTGTGTTGGATGAGCTGAAGGTGGCTCAGGCACCATGGAAAGCTGTCAATACTTTGGTAAGGAAAGAAACCCATGCCTGGTTTTAGTGTTCTCCTTTCTCCTTTGAAGAGTTGTAACCTGAATGCTAACTATAGGAGATGTTAACTACAGGGCAACTGGAATGCATTATCCTCCTGAATTCACTTCAATGCTGCTTTATTTTCATGATTGTAGTTAAATGCTGATTATAAATTGATAGGAGTACTCTCATTAGGATTCAGACAATGAAAAGAAGTTCAAACTATTTTTGAACTAGATTTAGTATTTAGAATTAGAAACTAGGAGTTTTATGTATTTCAATATCCAATTTACATTTTAATGGTGTCTTTTGCGGGAAAGAATACAAAGAGTTGGGTTACCACTTGATCTAATGATACTATTCTGTATTTTCGTGGCATATATTAAGCTACTCATACATTTTGTTGTTTCTCTTCATTAGAACGAGGCGCTGGAATTTGCAAACTCTGTGGGCTACCCATGCTTGTTGAGGCCTTCCTATGTTTTGAGGTAACATTTTGCTTTTCAATAATTAACAACCTAGTGGAACAGAAATGTACAGTGTGTGGTAGTAGCAGGCTTTGATGTGTAGTAATTTGTATATCCATCAGATGGTCCCCAAATCATCACAACCAGATTGGGATCTTTTCCAGTGAACAGTTTCCCATGAAGAAGTGACAATGTGAAGACACAGCAGTTCTACATCTAGAAACATGGCTCTCAGTGCTTCTTTGCCAAGTTCAGGGAACAGGACGGTGTATAAAACAACTTGAGATACTTCTTCTTGAGATACTGCTACAGAGAAATTATGGCTTCTCTCTTTGATGATTGTTAGCACCTTCTAATGGAATCTTGATGTGGCACATTTGAGTAAGCACTGGACTGCTAGCCAGAAGGTTGGCAGTCCAAACCAATCAACTGCTCCCAGTAAACCCAATGTAGGACCGCTATAAATAGGAACCAACTCTATGACACTTAACAACAACAGCAAAGCACCTTCTAATGGTGCTGCTGGTTAAAAAATTTGAGCCTCTTGAAGTCATATTTGTAAATGGACACATAATAGTGAGGAACATGTACAGTGAAGGTCTTTTAAAATAAACTTTGAAAAGAGAAGTTGTGAATTATCACTTATTCTCTTTCGATGTTACCACATGTAAGCAACTGCTTCACTGAAAAGGGGATAATAAGAGAAACATAATTAGCTGTGCACAATTTGGAAGTGTAAATGGAATTTGAGACAGAATTCTTTAAAAAAATAAATTTGAAATTGCAGTGGACAACTTACCTTTTTATTTAAATGGCATTTTATGTAGACCACAGTCTGATAATTCTACTTCGTTGAGCTATAGACGGGAGTGAATTTAAACATTCCACACATTTCATGGAGGACTGTAGAAAGCAGCTCTGACTTTCAGACTGGGTCTCTCCTTTTTATCTTTGTTTCCTATTTCATGAATTATCAACATAAATTCTCCATCCTTAATCTCTTATATGTATGAAGCAATTGAAAACACTTCATGCAGAAATTTGTAAGACAGTAGAAAAGGTAAAGGAAATACTAGTTTTTAAAAGGAAGTGGAAAATTCCCTTTATGTCCTCCCTCTTTTTCTCTCATTGCTTCTCCTTTTTTCCCTTCCCATTTTGAAAATGCCAAAATTCAGTGTAAATTGAATTTAGAAGGAAGAACATACAGAACCAGTTTCAGTCAGCTACTTATTCACGTATTAACATTTACAAATGTTATTATGTTGTTGTTGTTGGTAAGTAAGTGCCTTTGAGTCAGTTCTAACTTATAGCATCCCATATAGGGTTTCCAAGAGCAGTTGATGGGTTAGAATCACCAACCTTGTTGTTCTAACTGATCTTGTGGTCCAGGGTTTATCCTATAGTGCTATACCAGGATTCCAAATGCTGCTATAGAAAAATGAATTATTTCATCAACTAGTTGAGTTAGTAGAATGGTCTGCTTTGAAAAGTGGGAGAAAAATGTGGAACAGAACTCAAAATCATAAAAATGACCAGGTTTTCTCATTGGATGTAGACAGGTCAAACCCCTGTGGCTATGGCCCTTAGTCATCTTTAAGGTCTGGAACTAAATGTAACCCCATGGCTCAAGTTTCAACCAAGCACAGATAGGTATATAAGGTGAGCAATAATACTGGGGAGATATGCGCTCATAGGAAGAATCAGCCATTTGAGATCAAAAGGGCAGCATTTCCCCAGGGATAAAATTCAGAAGGTAGGAAGAAGGAACTGGAAAGAAGGATAAATGGAAATGGGAAGCACAGGGAGGAAGTGAAGTGATTTCTGTTGCATTGTGGGTATCACGATCCGTAGTATGAAACAAAATGTTCATGATTATTGAGTGGAAAACTGATAGGCTCTGTAACTCTTCACTCAAATCACAATAAAGCATTGTCAAAAAATAGATAGTTAGAAAAGAAAAAGAAAAAGACATGTCTGAAATTAGTAGAGAGTTGAAACAACAAATTAGAAAAGAACAAACCTTGTGGAAGGTTTCTCTTGGGGCAGTGCACAAGACTAACTCACAACTCCCACCCCCAAATCTAGCAATTTTTAACTTAGGATTGTTTGTTCTGATGGTTAGATGGAGTAAAGTTTTAATTTCTAGATTGAAAGTAGAGGTTACTCAGAACCATTCTGATAATCAATCAAATCTTGCATGTTTTTCTTCTGAAGCTATAAAAGAAACTGACCTGTTTGTTTGTTTCCTCTTTTCCCAGTGGGTCAGCCATGAATGTGGTTTTCACTGAAGATGAGATGAAGAGATTTCTAGAGGAAGCCACTAGAGTCTCTCAGGTAGTGTCTGAGTTCTTCTTAATGATTTTCACATCTTCTATTAATTGTTACCTTATTTTGTGTGCTGTTTTTCTTCTCCCACAATATTGTTAGAGCACTTTTCCTTTATTTCATCTATTTACTAGTTTCTTGCTTATGGGAATGAGAAAACTCAAAAGGGTTTAATTATATTTAGAACCTTAGGGCTATTGAAAGAAGGGAAGACCAGGGAATATCTGATCAAAATAAAGATTCGTATGTTTATAGATTCCTTTCTCTGTCCATGAGATAGGTACTGGTCAAGTGACTTCTCAGATATCTAGTTTGGGGGGTTGCCCAACCAAGCTCATCATTCACTGCTTTAAGCTTTCTTGATTTTTAATTCTCACACCTGAGGACTTTGCCTTAGTCAATTGTGCCACTTTATTTTAAGTCCCCTCGCCTCATTCAGCTATTGATTTTATTTTTGGTACATTCTATTTATGAGTTAATAAAAATGTTTTTAATTTTGTGGTGACTCAACCACCTTCCTCCACTGCCCCCAGCTTTTATTTTCTCCTTTGGCATTACCTCAGTGTGATCCATTTAAGACTTACCCACTGGGGTTATTGATCTGCAGACCTTGTACTGTAGAGGATGAAAGTAATGCTTTTCTTTTAAAAGCTTTCAAAAGCTAGTTGAGGTAGGAAAAAAATGCACAAAAAACAAAGAAACAACTCATAGAGAAGAGTTTGATGTTGGGCGAGTGGAACTTGGAGGGAGCTCAAGAGTGAAATCAGAGATATTTCAAAGAGGAATAAGAAACGTGGATTGTTTCCACACACATGAAGCTAGGTCCCCATTCTGTATGGTAGTTGCTCCCCATGGGTGTTTGTGCAGTGAAGAGAGTGGATAAAGGTAGAGTGAGAAAAGGTAAGGAGTATAAAAATGAAAACCCAGTGTACTGTGAATTTACTCTTACTTAAAGTTAGATAACTGAGGAGGAATCTCTTCAACAGAAAAGTTTTCATTAATTTTGGAGTGAAACACAAACCATCCTTTCCTCTCTCTCTTTACCTGGCCAGGGGTCTTGCATTGCTCCCCATTTGAGAATCTAGGAGCTAGACCCAGCTAGTCCCATTTCAGTGATGAGGCAGGTGTCCTATCATATTTGCCTGGATCACTGGAACTTGTAGGGTCTCAACTCAGTAGACTATCTTGAAGAATTGTTTTCCCTCTGAGGCCCTTGTAGCATAGTGGATTATAAACTGGGCTGCTAACCATAAGGTCAGCAGTTTGAATCTACCAGTCACTCCATGGGAGAAAGTTGAGACTTTCTGCTCTCTTTAAAGCTGTGTAGTCTTAGAAACCTTATACAGAGTTGCCTTGAAGTGGAACAGACTCCATGGCACACCACCACAACCAGCCTTGGGTAGAACCTATATAATAGGGTGTTCTGATTGAATACTTTCAGCTTTAAATCTCCACATCAAACTACAGCAGCTTTTGGGATAATACTTTATCTAGGTTCATTGTGTTGTATGAGGGTCTTCAAAAGGTGCATAGGAAAATGAAATGGACAGATATTGGGATTTTTCCACGAAGCCCCTCATGCATTACAATGAAACTAGAGTATAGTCATCCCCAATCAATCATCCACTTACTTATGATTCCTTTGTCTTTTAAAAAGTCACAAAATAGCTATCATCAAGTCAATTTCAACTCATATTGACCCCATGGAGCAGAGTAGAATTGGCCCATTACCTACGGTTACCAAGGCTGTAACTCTTTATGGAAGCAGACTGCCACATTTTTCTCCTGTGACGCTGCTGTGGGGCTCAAATAACCAATCTTTCACTTAGCAGCTGATTGCTCAGCCACTACATTTCTTCTTATTCCTATTTAGCATCTGCTGTACAAATATAAAGGAATCCTAGTGTGGTGCTGTAGGGTAAGCACTGGACTGCTAATTGCAAGGTCAATAGTTCAAACCCACCAACTGCTCCTCAGAAACTATACAGAGTTGGTATGAGTCAGAAGTGACTTGACAGCACTTAACAATAACAGCAACAGATATAAATATAATAGCACTATTTTCAGTACCAAGGGTTATACTTATTACCAAATGTAGATACAAATCTCTGCCCCCACAGAGTTCTTTCTTTGGAAAGCATATCAGACATTAAATAATTACAATTAAGTGTGGTAACAACTGCAATATCGAAAATACAACAGACCAACAACTCACTGCCATAGAATTGATCAAATTCATAACAGTGAAAAAAAGACAGAATAGAATTGCTCCCCAGGGTTTCCGGGGCTATAAATCTTCATGGAAGCAGCCAGTCTCATGTTTCTTCCACAAAGTGGTTGGTGGGCCAAACCCAGTGTACCCACTTTATCCACCAGGGCTCCTTAGTGAAAATAACCCATTGGCACTGAGTTGATTCAGACTCATAGTGACCCTCTGTAGAGTTTCAAGGCTGTAAATCTTTATGGGAGCAGAAAGCCTCCTCTTTTTCCCATGAAGTTATTGGTGAATTCAAGCTGTTGATCTGTGGCTAGTAGCCCAATGCATAACCCACGATGTCACCAAGACTCCGTTAATGAAAATACAGGATGCTAAAGAAAATGTAAGTCTTAAATTCTAGTCCTTTAGAAAGGGACTTTCAAATTGAGGTCTGATGACTGACTCAGAGTTAACTGGGTGAAAGGCTTAATGTTGTGGGTATACATGGGAAGGAAAACCAGCATTTGTAAAGACCTCAAGGTGAGAAAGAAAATAGAGTTTCTGGATAACTGATAAAAGACACTATGACTCGGGCCTCAAATATAGTGGATGCTATTGATGCTGATGGTGGCAGAGAAGGAAATAGAGTAGGCAGGGGCATGATAAGGGAGGTTCTTAAAATATTTGCTATTTTAAAAAGAGAATTCTACTGTAGCATAGAGAGTGAGTTATGAGGGTAAGACTAGAAAGAGGTTAGGGATTGTTGCTGCAGTGTGAGACAGAGATGACAGTATCTTGGACAATAAAGATGGAGTGGTATGAATGCATCCCCCAAATCCTGTAAATTGAAAGGATTAGTTAATTAAATGATGTGGAAGGTGAAAAAGAATAAAGGATGAGTTTTGAATGTCTTCCTTGGGCAGCTGGTTGGGTGGTGGTGTCACTTATAGACAAGGGAAATGCTGAAGAACAAGAGTATTTTGGAGGGGGAACAAGTTTTCAATTTGAAAATGAGGTGGAGATGCTTTGAAGTCAGAGGGCTATGTAGATTGGAGTTGATGATCAAGATCATGGATGGAGACAGAGCAGTAGATAGAGCGTTAGAAATAAACAACAGGCATTTTAATTGAAGTCTTAAGAGCAGAAGCAATCAAGGAGTGAAGAAGTACAAAGGGAAAGAAGTACCTAAGAGAGAAGTCACAGAAATACCAACATTTAAGAGCTGAATAGAGAAGATAGAACCATGGAGGAGTCTGAGAAAGCATCCAAATCTTTAAAGCATAAAAACAGGAAAATGTGGTTCCCAGCTATCAGAGGCAGGAAATGTTTTAAGGGTGGGTCAACAGTGTATGATGCTGAAAGATTGAAATTTATTAAGAGACTTTTTCTCCCCTCACTAAAGAGTACTTATTTATTCAAATGGCCAGCATGTGGGTTGTAGTTGCTCCACCCAGAGCCCTTTACTTGTGGGACTACTCATCCCCTACCTGCTGAGACAGCTAATAATTCCTCATAGCTGCTCTCTTCTCTAGATAACTATCCCTAACCTAATGGGAGCCTTTTGATTAGCAAGCAGACCTCTCACCTACCCCTACCCTCAAAGCCCCAGCCAATGACTGATCTTTGTCTCAAGGTGGGACTAATTCTGTGGTACAGTTCATACTCCAGAGCTCTCTGGAGGATTAGGTTGAAGTCAGTTTCCAACTGAGATCACTTTCTTGTTAGTTCCTCAGCCTATCCTGCCTCTGTAATTCCCTCAATAAATCACTTGAACATGAATCCCTATCTCAGACTTAGCTAGGGAAACTGACTAGGACAGCTAGTAAATGTTATCTTTTTCTGAAGTTACATTATTATCATTATTATATAGAAAAAGTGCATTGGTCTCAATTAGACTTGTCTTGAGAAATATTCAGTATTCAAAAGAGAAGGAATGGAGATGAAACAAATTATTCTCAAGTTAATAAACAGTTCCATGTCTCTTATAACTATTGCTTTTGAAGAGAAGGATGTGTGAAATTTGCCTCATTTAATAATGAAATTCAGGAAGAAATAAACTTATTTATAGCATAAAACATTGTTTATATTGACATCTTCCCCAAATTTAGTTTTATTAAGATGCTCTATTAAAGGAGATGTTGTCATTGTTGTTAAGTGTTTCCGAGTCAGTTCCAACTCATAGAGACCCAGTACAGGATTTCCAAGGAGGAACTGGTTGGTTTGAATCACTGACCTTTCAGGTAGCTGGCCAGAGCTTTTCCTATAGCACCACACAAGGGCTCCTAAAGGAGAGAAGATACATTAAATATAACTTAGAGAAAAGGTTCTGAATTCCCTGGTGGTGCCCAAAAGACTTTAGGAAAGAAGAAACATTTGAAATAGGCCTTGTGGATGAATTAAGATCTGAAAGATGAAGCTGGAGGAAATTCAGAAGTGTACATGGAAATGGAGTCATAGGTAAAGGTAAACACAGGTCTAGTAAGAAAACAGGAAGTGGTCCAGGTTGTCGGAGACTAATGCATAGAAGGGGAACCCTGGCAGTGTGGTGGGTTACACACAGGGCTATTAACTGCAGAACTGGCCGTTTAAATCCACCAGCCATTCTGTAAGAGGAAAATGAGGCTTTCTGCTCCCATAGAGTTTTACAGCCTTGGAAATGGCTAGACTGGGTCACTATGAGTTGAAACTGACTTGATGGTGCACACAAAAAAACAGCAAAAAATGGGGAATAGAGGAGAAGAGATATGTAAATACTGGAGACATTCAGTCATGTTTCTGGAAGAAGCAAGTGGTGGTCAGGTTGTGGAAGAAATCACAATGTTATTCTGAAGCAACTAAGCATAGAAGACATTTTGAGAACAGTAGCGGACCCATGAAATTTAAAGAACTAGATCGTGTCTATCTTCCACTACCAACTGCTCAGAAGACAAAACTCAAAGTTATAGTTTGAGGAGACTGGAGGAACCCAAGACTGTGGCCCTCAGTCACTCTTAGGGCTAGAACAGAACTCAGCCTTATGACCCATTTTTTAGTCAAGAACTAGCTGGGTATATTGTGGGGGCACCAACACTAGTAAGATCTGCTCACCCTGGAATGGTCAATCATTCCGGATCAAATAGGCAACATTTACCTAAGGATAAAGTTCAGAAGGGTCGGGAAAGGAAGTGGAATCCACAGGAAGTCAGCAGGAAAACTGTTGCTGCAAGGAGGGGATTGCAATAAGTGAGCTGAAACAAAGTGCATGAGGGTTGATTGTAAAACTGATGGTCTTTTTTTGTAAACCTTCACTCATTTCACAAGAAAAAGGTTCCATAAAAAGTTAAAATCCACCCCCACACAGAAAAAAGAATAGTAAGGCATCGAGAACACAGCAGATAAAGGAGTGACATCTTAAGATGTTTGATTTTCCAATTGGAATTGGCATGCTCACTGTTAAGTGCCATTGAGTCAGCTCTGACTCACAGTGACCCTGTATAGGATTTTCAAGGAGCAGCTGGTAGGTTTCAACAATCAATCTTGTGATTGGCCATCCAGTGCTTATCCTAAAATGCCACACCAGGACTCCACAAATTGTATGTTGTTGTTAAGTACCATCGAGCTGGCTTTGACTTACAGACACCCTGTACAGATTCCAAGGAGTATCTGGTGTGTTTGAACTCCTGACCTTGTTGCTCACACAAACCTTGTGGCTGAGTAATTGATCCCACAGTGCCATAGCAGGACTCCAGAAATGGTATATTGTTGTTATGTGCTGTCAAGTTAGCGACCTTGTATAGTGTTTCCGAGGAGCAGCTGGTGAGCTTGAACCACCAACCTTGCAGTTGAAATGGCTTTGCAGTCTGGTGCATCAACCCACAGTGCCACACCAGAAATGGTATTTGTTGTTGTTGTTATGTGCCGTGGAGTCGGTTCCGACTCATAGCGACCCTGCACAGGTTTTCCAAGGCTGTAAATCTTTACGGGAACAGACTGCCTCATCTTTCTCCCGCAGAACAGCTGGTAGTTTCAAACTGCTGACCTTGTGGTTTGCAGCCCGATTTGTAACCACTATAAGGCTTATTAATTTCAAGTCAAATATTTCATTGTCCGCCTAATAAAATGGAAAACAAAATGCTGCCCCCCTTCTCAAATCTATCACAATTTTCATATGTAGAACTGATTTAGGAAGTTGCAATACTCAGAAAAGATGAGGGTAATATGAAAAAAAAAAAAAAAAGTAGATCCAATAACAATAATATAGTTCTAGAAAGATATCCAAGTCCCTTGATTCCTGGTGTGGCACTGTAGAATAAGAACTGAACTATTAACTGAAAGGTTGGTGATTCAAACCCAGCAGCTACTCCTTGAAAACGATACAGTTTTGTTCTGAGTAAGAATTGATTCAATGGCACTTAACAACAACATTCAAGTCTCTGGGTGTTATAAACGATTAAGCACTGGTTTAAACCCATCCAGAGGTATATTGAATGTAATTTCTGGTGTTGTGCTTCCAAAATGTTACACCTTTGAAAACCCTATGATGAACAGTTTCGCTTTGCACACATGGCTTGTTTGTACTTTCAGCAATGAACAACAATAACAGAGAGATAGTTGTGATTTTGGAAGCTGAGAAGAAACCCATATTCTTCCCCAAGCTTAAACCCCTCTTTTCGTTAAGTTGCCTAGAAGCCTATGCTTGAGATTTCAGAACTCATGTTCAACTCACTGAACACTCTCGGTTGGAAAATAACACCTGCCTCACTATAAACAGAAAAACTCTTGTGCTTACAAGAGGTTGGCTAATAGGTTTATGTTGTATGTTTAGCATTAAGGTTTTTGACTGAATTGCTCCAGTATTTACTTAAACTACATGGCTTACTTAACATTGAACATGGAATTTGGACTAAAGTTTTCTCCCTTTAATTTTCCTTGCTGACAGGAACACCCAGTGGTGCTGACAAAATTTGTTGAGGGTGCTCGGGAAGTAGAGATGGATGCTGTTGGAAAAGATGGACGGGTAAGTGCTTATCCTCATCTCCCCTAGCTTACCTTCTCACCCGGTATTTCTTTCTTAGTAACTTAGATCCAATAGATCTGTTTTGGAAGAAGTGCAGCCAGAGTGCTCCTTGGAGGCCAGGACGGCTAAACTTCGTCTCTTACACTTTGGACATATTGTCCAGAGGAAACAGTCGCTGGAGAAGGATGTCATGCTGGGTAAGGTGGAGGGTCAGAGAAAAAGAGGAAGACCCCTAACGAGATGGATTGGCCAGGTGGCATCATTGATGGACTCAAGTGTGGCAGTGGTAGTGAGGTTGGCCCAGGATTGGACATTGTTTCGTTCTGCTGTGCATGGGGTCGCTATGAGTCGGTTCCGACTCGAAGGCCCCTACAACAACAACAACAACTTAGAAATGTAACACAGGTTAGGAGTCAGAATTTCTCTAAACCAGGCTCTAATCACAATGGATAAGATGCTCAGTCAATATATGTTGTTGTTGTTATGTGCCATCGAGTCGGTTCCGACCCATAGCGACCCTGTACAGGGTTTCCGAGGGTGTAAATCTTTACGGGAGTAGAAAGCCTCATCTTTCTCCCGCGGAGCACCTGGTAGTTTCGAACCGCTGACCTTAAGGTTCGCAGCCCGATTCGTAACCACTACGCTACCAGAGCTCAGTCAATATATAAATATAAATAATTTACTAACAATTCTGTTAATGTGAATCACATTTCCTGTGTTTCATACTATTAGACCTTGTCTTTAATGATACGCAAAATTAATTATCATCCTGTACTCATAATTCTTTTTGAACAGATTTTCTCCTCATTTTCTTTTGTCTGTGATTTCCCTTTTATGTTTCAATGGGTATTATGAAAACATCTAGTACTTTTCCTTCTGAAGTTTCTAATTGAATCTGTTTTTCTTCTCTCTTGATTTCCCACCCTCCTTTTTTATGGGGTTAATAAAAGCAAAACCAAACAGTAGGGTAGAAAAGGATAATAAAATTGACTTAACACATCACATCTTGTATTAGTACAGTGAATGCCTCTAACTTCAGGGAGAAATGGAAATGTGAAGGATGTTTTTCTTTAGTTTGCTATGTCTGTTAAAAAGGCATGCATTTGTGATTTATCTTGAAATATTGAAAGTTATGTTTTAGGAAGTCAGTAAGTCCTTGTTGTTTTATCTGCTTTAAAGAAAAATAAAGTTATCCTTCATCTTCTAGTTTGTAAGAACTTCAAAACACTACTGAAAGTGTCAAAAAACATTTTTTTTGGGGGGGTCTTCCAATTTAGCAGTTCAAAGTACCTTTTTTTGGTGTGTGTGTATTAATAGTGTCTTATTACCACAGAATCATCTTATTCTTGAATTGAAGCCCCCTTAGAGATTATGTATTCCAACCCTCTCCCCTAATGCCCCAACACTAACTGCAAGAATTTTCTTCACATTTCTGGGTCTTCTGTTTTCTCTTGAAATGGAACACAAAAAGTTGTAAGTGTGTTATGTTTTTGGACATCTTGGGTATTTCTTATCTTGAATTAAGGTCTGATTTCCTCAAATACTCGTCTCCTGAACTTTGGGCCTCCAGAGTTGCAGAGGATAAATGCAATCCCTCTTCTTTTACAATATTTTAAATATTTGAAGACTGAGATCTAGAAGAAGAATGTGATCATACATACGCAGAAGTGGAGAATTTAAGACTGGCCTAGAGACATTCCTATTTTTTCAGACCCATGCTGCCAAAATAAAACTGGTCTGTCGGCCTGACTTGGATCCAGGTTGCCAGGATATGTCCTTGCACTGAGCTGCTCTCAGTCGCCAGCCGTATCATCCTGGACTACCTCTTGAAGAAATGTTTCCATATTATTCACTGAGTTTTTAAACTGTCACACTTCAAGAATATGTCAATTTCTCCAGAACTCATTGGATAATTGCATTCCCCTTTCTGGACATTATACATGCTTCTTCTCAAAAAAATTGAGCTTTTATGTGTGGCACCGTAGGATGAGCACTGGATAACAAGGTCAGTTTCAACTGCAAGGCTGGTGGTTCAAACTCACCAGCCACTCCTTGGAAACCCTATACAGGATTGCTATGAGTTGGAACCAACTCCGTAGCACTTAACAACAACAATAATGCCATTCATACCAAAGAATTCTATATGTTTTCTTTTATACTTATAAACATTCTATGAAATAGCACTAGTCTCATCTTATTATTGTTGTTAAGTGTCATTGAGTCATTTTGTGACTCATAACAATCCTGTGCAGTGTTTCCAAAGAGCAGTTGGTAGGTTTGAACTACATACCTTGTGGATAAGCAGTCCAGTGCTTATCCTACAGTGTCACACCAGACTCATCTCACTAAAAACAAAGTCTAAGTAGGTAAAGTACCTTGCCCAGGTCACAGCACTCAAATGTCACCGTGGTCTAAGCTATTTTTAAATCTGATAAGGAGGTCTTCTATGTAGTTTATCTTTTACAGCCACCTACCTGATTATTCTCTCATTCTCAGCATTTTGTGCTTGCCAAATGCAAATATTCAATTGATATTTGGGTTATAATGATTGAGGTCATAGATTTTAGAACCTGGCAGATAAGGGTTCAAAGTCTGCATTCAGCCACATACAAGTCACATGAATTTGTGTTATTTATCCTCATATTACTTAGTTGCCTTAACTGTAAAATAAAACAAAAGTGTATTGTTCCCCAAAAATTAAAATTTAAATTCTTCAAATTATAATTTAATCATCTCTGGATCAGATCCTCAAGTTTTCTTTCAAGTTTGTTTAGCTAGCTATATATTGACCTCTTTCATACTCTTTTGTATTCTAATGTCAAAAATTTAACCAGGAAGGAAAAGATAAACATATCCCCCACTGCCTTCCAAATGTATGCGGTGGCGGTTATGTGCCATGGAGTCGGTTCCAGCTCATAATAATCCTGCATAGGGTTTCTGAGGCTGTAAATCTTTACAGGGGCAGAAAGCCTCATCTTTATCCCAAGGAAGGGCTGGTGGTTTCAAATTGCTGACCTTGAGTTTAGCAGCCTGACTTGTAACCACTGATTGATTCCCATACCCATCAGTTGAAGCAGGAGACAAGTCCTCATCTACTCCCCATTCCCCCGGGAGTCAATCCATCATGGCACAGGGTGTCTTCTAGGTCTGTATGCAGTGCTTTCTCCTCTTCTCATTCAGGGTTTATGTTCAATGCTCAAGGCATATGTCAGAATCAAAAGGATGGGCAACATAATAACTTTGTGGAAGTAAGTGTCTAACAATTCTTTCTAAAATCTTCTTCTGGCCAGGTTATCTCTCATGCCATCTCTGAACATGTGGAAGATGCAGGAGTCCACTCAGGAGATGCTACTCTGATGTTACCCACACAAACCATCAGCCAAGGAGCCATTGAAAAGGTCATCACTTTTAAACATAAGTGGGAGAGGGGAAAAAAGCAAATAATAATAAACACATAAAAATAAAACAAAGAAATACCCAAAATCACCAATGTAGGATATGCCTTAAGTCAATCAAGTACAAAATTTCCTTGGTCTGAGTATTTTAAAGAAAACAATTTCTTTCACTGCCTGTTAAATCTTGTTTGGTTGCATGTTAGTGTAGTATTCTGGACCTTCCACATGCCTCAGAATTCACCTGAAGAGCTTATTAAAATACAGATTTCTGAGCTCTATCTCCAGTTTCTGAATCTATAGTTCTAAGAAGTAAGGGTGGTGGTGGTGGGCAGAATTTACATTATATCAAGCCCCAGGTGACAATATTGCTGTGGATCACAGAACTACAATGTAAGAACTACTGGTTCATGTGATTCTAATGTTTGAGACACATTTATAGGTTGTTGTTGCTAAGTGCTGTTGAGTGGGTTCTGACTCATAGCGACCCTGTATATGGTTTCTGAGGAACAGCTGATGAGTTTGAACTGTCAACCTTGTGGTTCAAACCAACCTTGCAGTTCAGTTCATTATCCCACAGCACCACACCAGAACTCCTTCCACATATAGGTAGCTGTTGTTATGTGCTGTGGAGTTGGTTGCAACTCATAGCGATCCTGCATAGCGTTTCTGAGGCTGTAAATCTTTACGGGAGTAGAAAGCCTCGTCTTTCTCCCACAGAACAGCTGGTAGCTTAGAACTGCTGACCATGAGATTAGCAGTCTGATTCGTAACCACTATGTAGCAGTCACTAAGAGATCTTTTCAAAACTTGATGTTGATTGTCCATTTCTGCCTCTACCTCAACTAGCACTTTCTGATCTCTTTCTATGTCTCTTTGAGAATCACTGCTTTAAAGGCAATTCCCAGTAAAGATAACTCTGCCTTAATACTCACTATGCAATGCTAGGTGGTGTCTACTTAGCGACTCTCATCTGAAATATCTCAGTGGAAATTCCTTGAGGTTTTTGGTGCGTTACAGCATGCCTGTCTTTTTTTAAGTGAGCTTTTCCAGTGATATTGCCGTGAGAATCCATGCAGACCTGTCTATCTGGCCCTAGACTGGCTGGATTCTGAAGGTCTTATTTTGTTCTATAACATGGATGTAGCAGGATGTTTTATAATACCAGCAGTATGAAAGAACAACATCCCTAGTTTTAAATGTGTTTCAGTTTCTCATGTCAGGGAAAATGACCTTAAGAACTCAGACTTTTTTTTCAAATCTCTCAGAGCTCAATGTGCCACAGACTCCATTTCCTTTTAGAACCATTAATTTACTCAGCCAGTCTTGTCAGGGCAATGCATGAGGAGTTCTGGCTTCTCTTAATTAGTGCCCCCTCTGGGCATGGGTACCTTCTGTCCCTAGTGAGTATAGGGAATTCTATATGTGACATGCAGGGCCTCTCTGCAGGGAACACTGTTTCCTTCTGACCATAATGCCTACCCTTGTAGAGTCCAGGTAAAGAGAAAAGTAACATAAAAGAAATCTCTCTGGTCTCTTTGTAATTCCATGCAATTTCAGGGCCTGAACCTCTCAGCAGGTAAGTCATTGGAATGATAGAGTTCAGGCTGTAGTTTCTGGTACTGAAGCAACTAGACTGAAAGGATTCTATTTAGCCCTCAAAGTAAAATCAGAAGATATCATTGTAGCATGATAGGGATTTGGCAGAGAGCTAATCCTGCAAAGCTTATCTCTTCTTTTCCCTGCTATCTTGTTGTGAATATTTAGCGCATATTATTATCTTGTTAATAGGAGGCTAGTAATGGAGTAGAGAAAAATTATTAGTGGAGATGTAGCTCTTTTAAAGGGAGATTAAAGAAATCTGAATTTAAGAAACTATTTTCCTCTCTTGCTCTAGGTGAAGGATGCTACTCGAAAGATCGCCAAGGCTTTTGCCATCTCTGGACCGTTCAATGTTCAATTTCTTGTCAAAGGAAATGATGTCTTGGTAAGCAATGCCAAGGTGTTTGAGAGGACACAGCTGCTGTGTTAGGTCATGTTGGTTTGTGTCCCTCTGGTAATCTCCGTTTCTTTGAACACCAGACCAAGTGCAACTGAGATGTCTGCAGCTGCTCGTGTCTGAGTGTGGGACGTAGCACAGCATAGAATGCCTGCCTTGTTTGAAGGCAGATGCTCTTTGAGCCACTGATGTGTCAGTCACAACTTTGTAAAGGTCTGAAACCTGGAAAGAAGGTCACTGTACGTCATCTCTAGCATATAGATGATACAGTAAATACCATAAAGTAATGTGAGCATTCAGAATAGTCATAAGGTATATGCATTGGAGTTTTACTTTACTCTTTTTCTTGCAAATAGTGCTGTTTTGAATACCACATGTCAAAAATAATCACATTGAGTGAGCTAGGTGGTTGTTGTTGTTGCAAGTGCTATCGAGTCAGTTTCGACTCATAGCGACCCTGTATAGGGTTTGCTGTAGTTGTTGTTGTTCAGTGTCATTGAATCAGTTCCAATGCATAGTGACTCTGTTTCTGAGGAGTGGCTGGTGAGTTTGAAATGCTGACCTTGCTGTTGTAACCAAACCTGAGGTCGAGTGCTTATTCTATGACGTCACACAAGAACTTCATTGTATAGGGTTTGTTGTTAAGTACCATTGAGTTGTTTTTGACTAATAGTGACCCTGTATAAGATTTCTGAGGAGCGGCTGGTGAGCTTGAACCACCAACATTGCAGTTTGAACCAACCTTGCAGTCCAGCACATGAATGAATCCACAGCACCCCACCAGGTTGTATAGGGTTTAATAATTAATTTATGCTCGTAATTTAACCAAGGAGAAATCAATACTTATTCAGAACCTTCCATGCAAAGATGCAAAAGGAAGAGTTCCCGGTTTCAAAAATCTTGAGATTTAGTGAGAACTTGGAACAAGATTAGTTTCAGATTACAATAACGTAAGTCAAATGTAATAGCTAGCATAAACAAAACAATGAAATAGTATTGGAGTCATGGAATAGGGAGAAACATTTACTAGTGTTTGTGTATGTTCATGAGCATGTATATGAATGTTGGTGCATGGATCATGAAAGACTTTAAGGAGGATTTTATATTGTGAGCTGGACCTTAAGGATTGACATTTTCATAAGTATAGGGATATAAAAAGAACATGACATGTAGATAGAACCTCATCTTCAGATCTTAGCATGTCTTAGAAAACAGTGACTAATTCAGCTTAGTGATATTGTTCTTCTAGGGAAAAAATGGAAGGTAACCTTGAAAAGGAATATTAGGACCACAAAAGTGATATAAAGTAAGACTTGAGAGGTTGACTGAGGTAAGAAGATAGACTTTAAGAAAAGTTAAGGATCAGAGTTTAATATGATGGCCGTTGGAAATCAAATGTAGGCGCTGTAGTATTGTTTGTTCTTAAGCGCCATTGAATGAGTTTCAACTTATAGAAACCCTATATAGGGGTTCCAAAGAACAGCTGGTGGGTTTGAACAGGCAGATTTTGAGTTAGTAGTTCAGTGCTTATTCTACTGCATCACACCAGGACTCCAGGCTTTGTAGTAGGGATGTGGAAACAGTAGGAGTCTGGAATTACATCTCTGAGTTCTGCATACAATAAATCTGTCATCAGTGGGTGGGAATGGATTTGGGAAGAGAAGATGGATGAAAATTTAGAGATACAGGAAGGAAACGAATTTTTAAAAGTTGAAGCGATGGGATAAAAGGAAGAGAAGATGAGCAAAATGTGGACTGTCTCCAATTAATAACAGCTGGAGACCAGATGGTGGAGAGAATATTAAAATCATCATCATTGGTTCTCACCATCCTCTTTCCTTTTGAAATTTTTTATCTCTTCAGGTAATAGAGTGCAACTTGAGAGCTTCCCGATCCTTCCCCTTTGTGTCCAAGACACTTGGAGTAGACTTCATTGATGTGGCCACCAAGGTGATGATTGGTGAAAATATTGATGAGAAACCTCTTCCAACACTGGAACATCCCATCATTCCTGCTGACTACGTTGCAATTAAGGTAACACTTCCAGATTTCTATTAATTGTTTTGTGATTGTCAAGGAAATTAAAGGACAAATATGCCATCAAAATAAATCTCAGTCATATTTTAGCCTTCTTACAAAAGCTCTGGACTGGAGATTTCTGATGATTCCTTTCAGTAACTCACTGTGGTTGTACTATAAGCAAATTTGAATTGCATAAATTTGAAATAATATGTAAAACTATTAATGAAGTACTATGTTATGCACAAAATGTAAATGATGATGCATTTCTAAAGTTAAAATATAACTAATCTAGAATTGTATATCTTGAAAGCTGGCTAGCTGAGTGAACTATATGCTATGTTTATGTAATTGGTGCATGAAGGAGTCAGTTTAGTTTGTTAGGCATTCTTTGTTAGGATAAGGCTAGAATTATACCACTTTTGAATTGTGCCAAGTTTTTAAGAACGTATGACTCTCCTAAAAGTGATCACCCCGTGGTGTTGGGTGAATTCTTATCGCCCTTCAGTTAGTCCCTATTTCCTGCAGTGGCACAATTTTTCGACTTGAAAACCTAAGATAGCACTTGCAGTTCACAGTAGAAGTTTGAGGGTCTTGGAACTGGTGACACTTTTCAGAAGAGTGATCAGGAATATATATCATTCCTTTATTGACTCTCAATCCTTTTTACAAAAATAATGATAATGCAATTGTGTTCCTCTAGCTGCCTCAGTACGCCTGTTGTTGATAAGTGTCATCGAGTCAAGTCTGACTCAGAGTTACCCTGAATAGGGTTTCTGAGTCTGTACATCTTGGTGGGAGCAGAAAACCTCATCTTTCTACTACAGAGTGACTAGTGGGCTCGAATGGCAGACCTTGTAGTCAGTCACCCAATGCTTATCATATGGACCCACCACATTCCTATCAGTATACCTACATAAAAATTGTTTATAAATATGACCTTCAACTACTTCACTGGACAGACATGAAGTAGAATGAAATATTATATGAGTATATTTGAAATTTTTATATGAAGGACTCAATGTTTGTGTGACATTGATGTATACTGGATGACTTCAAAACGTTTCTATTGCTATATGTATTAGTAGCCTCACCTGTAATTGTATTGCACCTGAACCCCTGAGTTCTAACTTTTATTATAATATATATAAGTTAACACTATAAATGATAAAGTATTTATATATACTGTTTCAGTTAATCATTTAGGATACCTTTGATTACCTATAATGCATTGGAATGGGATGGACATTTTATTGGGTGTGGTGGCATTTATTTCAGAAGACTATGGCAAAACATGGTTTTTTGACAGGCTTTCCATGAGAATGCTGTTGTTGTTGTTAGGTGCCATCAGCTCAGTACTGACTCATAGCGATGTTATGCACAGCAGAACAAATCACTGCCCCATCCTGGGCCAGTCTCACTACTGTTGCCATGCTTGAGTCCATCGATGCTGCCACTTGTCCAAACCATCTCGTTGGGGGTCTTCCTCTCTTCCTCTGTCCCTTCACCTTACCAAACATGATATTCTTCTCCAGCAAATGGTCCCTCCTGACAATATGTCCGAAGTATGAGAGATGAAATTTGGCCATCTTGGTCTCCAAGGAGCACTTTGGCTGCACTTCTTACAGAACAGATCTGTTGGTTCTTTTGGCAGCCCATGGCACTTTCAGTATTCTCCTCCAACACCAAAACTCAAAAGCATCAATTCTTCTACTCCTCTGTCAGTTTGTCATACGGTGATGACTTGTGAGTTGCTGTGATTCTGAACCTATGTCACCAGTATTTTAAATACACCCATGGTGGACAGGTTTCAGATGAGCTTCCAGATGAACACAGACTAGGAAGAAGGAGTGACGAACTACTTCTGAATAATTTAGTCACTGAAAACCTTATGAATAGCAGAGAAACACTGTCAGATATAGTGCAGGAAAATGAGCCCCTCAGGTTGGAAGGCACTCAAAATACAACTAGGTTAGAGCTGCCTCCTCAGAGTAAACTGTGATGATGTGAATGGATTAAAGCCCGTGGGACCTTCATTTGCTGATGGGGCACAACTCAAAATGAAGAGAAACAGCTGTAAACATCCATTGAAAATCAGAACATGGAATGTACAGAATATGAATCTGGGAAAACTGGAAGTTGTCAAAAATGAAATGGAATGCATAAAGATCGATATCTTAGGCATTAGTGAGCTGAAATGGACTGGTATTGGCCATTTTGAATCTTCAATGGGAATATACATAGGATTTTTTGCTTGTTTGAGACCAACAAGTAGTAGACTTTGAAAAACACTTTCATACTTGAGAGACTACATATGAATTTTTAAATCCATGTTTCTTTGTCTAAATACACAGAAATCTATGATGCTATTTCTCTTTATATATTTATATATGTAATATATGCATATACGTGTGTGAAATAGCTTCTGAGTGAAAACAATATTGATAGATATACATTTTGCAAAATACACTATTTTCACCTTCTTTAGTTATAATTGTATATAGATCTAGTCGTTTTTGTTAAATTACTTATTTCTAGCAAATCCTATTATAACTTTAGTGAGGTTTGTGCAACTGACAGATGGGGTTATAGTGTAGTTGGGGTATAAACATACATAATAACTTGCCCAAGATGGGGCAGTCAAATGATCCCAAGCCAGAATCTGCATGCTAATTTGGAAGGAGGCCAGAAACAAATCAGGAATAGTCTAGGCTAGATACATGGATGTCTACAAGAAGTGGAATGTTAGTTGTTTGTGAATTGCACTAATATATTAAATAAAAAGGAAGCATCTTATGTTCCAGTTCATAGGAAAGTTCTTGGCAAAGGTGTTTCCAAGCAGAATGTTTTTGTACATTTTTTAAGGGGTGTCAACAACAGTTTAATGTCTGAAAATTCATTTCTGGCAAAGTGGTTTGTTGCAAATTCAGATAATCTGAACAAAAAGAGGAATATTTCAAAGCCTACCATGAAAAAAACAACATGTTTGAACTGCGTGTTTTGGAAGACCAGTGCCCAATGGACTTTGTTTGAAATCACTCCAGCAAGAATATGTGTAGTCCAGATTAGAAACACTGGCTGAGACTGCTCACAGGGGCCCTATTTACAGAAATAATTTGTGATTATTTAACCCAAAGTTTTGGCTAAGAACTCAAGAAATTCTTGGAACAGCATTTTAAAGCTTTTTTTTTTTTTTTTTTTTTTTTAAAAGCCAGATGCTTGGACCAAAGAGATTTTTTACCTGTCTGCCATTGACTAAATGAATCCTGTGAGAGATGATTCACTAAGTATTTTCATTCACTTGTATTCCTTTTATATCTTTGTCTCACATAATTTTCCTCTCCTTTATTTTTGACAGGCTCCAATGTTTTCCTGGCCCCGATTGAGGGATGCTGACCCTATTCTACGATGTGAGATGGCTTCCACTGGAGAGGTAAATAGTTAATGATCCATGAACTCTTTCATTAAATCTACTGTAAGGTATATGGATTTGTTATCTGAATTATCCAAAGTAAGTAAATAAGTAGTAGGGACAGCATGGACCTCTTTTGCCATCAGAGTAAATCTCAAAGGTCTTAAGAATTTTGAACTAAAAAAAAAAAATCAACAAAAAAAACTTTTGTTTTTTGGACCAGTGTCTGTTTTCTCACTTACTTATGTTTCAACCTATAAATACAATACATGTGTTCACAATTCATTTATATATTACACATTGACAAAAATCTTGGAAATATTTCTCTAGACATCTAAGTAAATTTCTTTTGGGTCTCTGCTTTTATGCTAGGGTTTTCTGGTCTGTTTACATCAACCTCCTTTCCCTCTCTTTTCTCACCATTTTGCTACCATGAGATTAGATTTTTGAATTATTACTAGCAATATGTAGATGGATAGTATTAGAAAGATCCTGATCTAAATGCTGTGGAATCTGCAGATACATACAAAATCCCAGGACTACTTTCAAAGTAACTTTAACCTCCTGGGGATTTTCTAAAATATATATAACATGATTGGCCACTGGATGTCCTTCTTCTCTTGTTTTGGAATTCTGTCTGATGAAACCAAATCAAACCAAGCCAAAAGGAAAACTAAACCCACTTCCTAAGAGTGGATTCGAACTCACCCAGCCCTATAGGATACAGTAGTACTGCTCTATAAGGTAACCATGGCTGTCATCTTTAGAGACGTAGACTGCCTCATCTTTCTTCCATGGAGCAGTTGGTGGCTTTGAACTGACAACCTTTCAGTTAGTAGTCGAGCACTTAACTACTGTCAGCTGAAGGTTTCTTTAGGAATGTGAAAAATGTTCCTTGTAGAAACCTGTCAGATTCTGAAGCATTCTCTGCATGTCAGTGTCAGAACATTTTATGAATCACCTAGCCCTTGACAGACTTCCTAGATACAACCTTTAGATTCCCATCAGTGCACATTGGAATGGCAACATTAAACTCTGAGGCATCAGAGTTTCCTCTTGGTATTAAAGAAAACCTGCAAAGGGAAAATACTTAATTGAAACAAATACATGCTATTTTCTATGGTTGCCTAGTTACAAGCAAGCTCTGTGATGAGAAGTCAAGTGAGACAGGACAGCGAGCAGTAAGAAACAAATGGCTAACCTTTTGTATTTGGACTGATAATCTGCTTCTCTTAGCGTCTTGCTGATTCGCTTAATAAAATATGAGGGGGCTTCAAAAACTTCATGGAAAAATGAAATAAAATAATCAGAAATAATTCCACAATTTTTTTGAAGTCCCTTTGTAGGTGAGAAAATCTAAGTACATCACTATTGCTATCTGCTTTAAGGAGGTCCTCTTCAAATTCATCTTGATCCTGTGTCTGCGACAATTGCAGGGCTGTTTTCTGTCAGTAGAGAGTTGAGAGCAGGAGAGATCTTTGCTGTTTTTTTCTAACATGGCAAATTTATTTTCAGTGCTCATGCACATTCTGATTGCTGATGTATATTATTAGAGTTGTTGACATATGAAAATATGAAAGATTTAGAAATTCACTTCCTGCTTTGTTGTATGTTTCTAAAAGTATAGAGAAGATCACTTATTCTTTTGTTATAAAAAGAGTCATAGTCCCATGTGTGATAAAGTATGATGTTATAAGGTCCATTTTAGAACTGAAATCAGAATAATAATGCCACCTTAATGAAACTCCAATTGTACTTCAGAGTCACTCTCAGTGACCAAAGGGTTTGCTCTGGGATTGACCCAGCTTTCAAATGCAGATAGATGTAATCATTGCTTTGCTTTCCTAGTGATAAGGTGGTGATGATGATCTTAATTTTTAATGGAATATTAGATTATTTTATTTATTTATTTATTTCATAGAAAACTAGTGATATTTCTCGTGTGTTATATTGGTGTTTATGATGGGATTGCCCAGTGTCTCTCAGTAGAATTTTGGGTTCTGTTCACTTTGCTTGACATTAGTCAGTTGGCCAGTATTGACTGAGGAATATGCCTAGTGTGGGGTAAAAAGCAGCCTGTGCCGGTGGTGAACTGAAGGTCATGATTATGAATATTTCCCTTTCACAGTAACAGAGTCATTTGCTTAAAAACTGAATTTTACACCAGTTTTATTTACTATCCTGGTGGATCTGTACCTGTGCCAAATGATAATGCACCTGGCAGAACCTACTCCCATAATTTTCAAATAGAAACCACTTCTGGAGTCAGGGAGACCATCTGATTTGCAGTTGTATTATAGCATAATTGCCCTCAATGAAATTTCTGTATACCCTAGCATTATATACTGTATACCCTAGTATTATGTGATTTGTTTTTTACATATGACTATGGTTTTCATCACTAGTAGCAGGGTATAATGGTTCATTTTATGAGAATGATTTTTCTAAAGTTCCTTTGAGATTTTCATGGAGTTATTGAATTTCTCAGAAGTGTTTCTTATAAACTGAATGAAACGACCCCTAATCAATTGATCAGCAATTATACTTTCCTGCATCTGACCCATGTATTTGTGCACTGCTGTGTAGCATTTGGGACATGTGCTGTTATTTAAACATTAAGTCATATTAACATTTGGTAGCTCACCACATTATGAACCAGAAGCTCTGATTTGTATCCAAAGAACTCACGATAGAATCCAGTTATGCTGTTCCACAGAGGGCTGTTAGATCGAGAAAGAATTGCTTATTCATTCATTATGCTTAATTAAAAACATCAGATACATTTGCCCTGGCCAGACTTTTAATCCCTGGATTCAAATTGCATGGTCTTTGGGCAACACCGATGAGATCTAGGAAAGGAATTCATGGGTAAAGTACTTTCTGTTTATATTTATTTTTGGAGGAAGGAGTTATTGTTGTTGTTAAGTGCCATCAAGTTGGTTCCGACTCCTGGCGAGGAGAAGCTGGTGGGTTTGAATTGCTGACCTTCTGGTTGTCAGCCCAGTGCTGATCTTACAGCGACACAACAGTGGGGAGGGGTAGATACTATTATTTGCTTCATTTTACCTTAATTTTTCATTTATTCCTAAACAGGTGGCATGTTTTGGTGAAGGTATTCATACAGCCTTCCTGAAGGCAATGCTGTCCACAGGGTTTAAGATACCCCAGAAAGGCATTCTGATTGGGATCCAGGTAAGTGACTTGTGGTACATATTGTGGTTGGCTGGATGAAGGGATAATAAATATGGTATAGAAGGGGGTATGTTTTATTTTTTTAGTTCCACTAAAGAAAACAGCAACTCATAGAAAACATGGACATTTGTTCTCTCTGACTTGATTCTTCCTTTCTTCCAATGTAGCAACTATTGTTTGATTTGCAGTGCCACTGAGTTGACTCTGACTCATAGAGAATTTTGTATAGGGTTTTTGAAGCATGACTGGTGGGTTTGAACTGCCAACTCTGCGGTTACCAGTCTGGTGTTAGTCCTACAGCTCCACACCAGGACTCCAGTGTAGCAACTAATACAAAATTAGTACTGACTCAGTCTCCATTTATAAGGTTTCCAAGGAACAGCTGGTGAGTTTGAATTGCCAACTTTGTGGTTCAAACCGACCTTGCAGTCCAGTCCTTTAACCCACAGCATGACACCAGGGTGCCTCAAAAATATTAGGGGTGGGGAGGAAGAAAAAAAAGACAGAAGGAAAATGTCTCCAGTGAATTTAGTCTACATGAAAAGAATTCAGTTTACATGAAAGGAATCTCCCGGTTAAGTTTGCTACGTATTATGGTGTTAATTCCTCCTCTTTAGGTTGTGAATATAAACTTTCCATAACATTTGGTCTCACTTCCACCTCTGTCTCTTGACTTTCCTCCTGTCTGCTCATCCATATTTATAGTAGCCATGATTCTATATATAGTCATGACCTCTAAGTCTATATTCTTGGGATCCTATGTTTCCAGCAATTGGCTTGTTACTTCTGTCTGGACATCTTAAACACAACATGTCTCAGGCTGAAGTCAGACCATCTTCTCTTGATCTCTGCATTTTCTTTTTATCCATTATTTCACTCCTTTACATTCCAGTTTGTGCTAAATGCCAATGATTCAAAATTGGACACAACGTTATTTTAAAAATATTTCTCAACCTGACACTCTATGACTAATTGAAGTTTCCTGAAAGGCAGTGATATTATGATTAGCTATAGTATTAAAAAGTCAGCACATCCCATTATGTACAAGGTTCTTGAAGTTTAATTATTTTGTAAGTCTTCCAGGACAAAGCAGGATGAGATAATTATAAAAGAATACCTTTATAAAATGAAAAGAATGTCATTAATTTATTATTACAAATTGAATATAAATCTTAGGGGAAAATAGTAGCCAGGAGACTTCTAGTATTCCTTGGAATAATAATTATAAGAGCATATAAATTACTGTTTATGAAATGTCCTGAAAAATTATAAGATGCTTCCCAACTGGTAATTCATTTGAGATTAGTAATTCTTGGGTCCTATAAAAACAATTTGTTGTTGTTAAGTGCCTTCGAGTCGGTTCCGACCCATAGCGACCCTGTACAGGGTTTCCGAGGGTGTAAATCTTTACGGGAGTAGAAAGCCTCATCTTTCTCCCGCGGAGCAGCTGGTAGTTTCGAACTGCTGACCTTATGGTTCGCAGCCCGATTCGTAACCACTACGCTACCAGAGTTCCTTGACCCCTGCTGTGCTTTTAATAAGCGCAATCCCTGCATGGTTACATAAAAATCAATACAAATATAATTAAAACAGTTCCAGGTATTCTTAAAGCAGTGGGTGAATATTATAGATACGGTCTCATTAAGGTATCTTAATATCAGCTAATTAGACCCAGGAGACTGGATGAATAGTGGTCCGGGAGAAGTTTCCATAGTAGCTCGGGATTTTACTTCAGAAAGGTACCAGAAGGACGACGGTGAACAGTTAGAGCAGAGGCTAACAAGATGACTTGCAATTGCGAAGCTTAATGGCAATTTAGAGACAAATCACACCATATGAGAGACTCATCACGTTAGCAATGGGTTTTAACTACTATTAAGTCCCAAGTATGAGAGTATTCACCCAACTTCCGTTATGGCTTAAAGTTTAATGTGAGACCTGAGGACATTCAGAGGAGACCATGCCCTTAGTCCTCATCTTCACAACTAATCATAATAGTGCTAACATTTTAAAATACCAGTTTAAGAAGGCAGTCATGTATAAAATTGTACCTTGTTTAGTTCCATGCTTCAGGGGAATGTGAAGCAAAAATTAATTTGATCCCTGTAAAGTATTTGTGTGATTTTGGCACCGGTGAACAGAATTTTGCTTGGCAGGAAGAAAAGGGGTGATGTTTTCTTAAACTCTAAAGAGCAGTGTGGTTCGACCCATTAAAGTTCTGCCTATTGACGTATTCTTTTTTAGAGAAATCAATGTTCCAGCAGCTATAGGAGTTATTACAAAGTACCTCTTTCTTGTACATGGGTGTACTATGTTAGGGATTTTCTAAAAATATTTTTCATTACCAAATAATTTTTTCTGCAACATTTTTTATAAAAATGATATTTAACTTAAGTTGTTGTTGTTAAGGTCCATCGAGTCCGATCCTATATAGGGTTGCCTATGAGCAGCTGGTTGATTTGAACCGCTGACCTTGCAGTTAGCCATCCATACCAAACCCCTTAACCTAAGTAAATGCAATAAAATATTTTCACTTTTTGCAAAATTAACTAACAGGGCTCTAAAGCTCCCAAACCAGATGAGAATCAGTTTTTTAATTACTTTATATGGAAGGCAAGGAATGCTTGCCATCACCAGCAATTAATATATAGATTCTTTATTACTTTACAGAGAACTTTCCTTTTGGTGGCTAAAAAATGCTTATCCTTATTAATAAAGCTGACAAATAGAATATACTAAACACAGAGCTAGTAGCTACAAAAGTTGCTGGACATCTTAGAATGGAACCTAATGTTGTCTCAACTTTTTACCCAAACTTTATAGTAATTGAAGACAAAGTGTTTCATGTTTAATATTTCAGAATATATTGTACTCTTATTAAAATCATTTTATTTCATATGATCCTACTTGGTCAGAAGAATTCATAGAAACTCATTTGAATAAAGAAAGAGTTGAAATGGAGGTCAAATTGTACTATCTATATTACAACTGAGGAGTCTTGGTGTGGCACTGTGGGTTAATGCACTGGACTGCAAAGTCGGTTTGAATGGCAAAGTCAGCTGTTCAAGCTCACCAGCTGCTCATCAGAAACCCAATACAGGGTCACTATGGGTCGGAACTGACTTGGTGGCACATAACAACATAAAGACATATACCAACTGAAAGATCAGTTGTTCAAATCAACTAGTTGCTTTAGGAGAGAAAGATGAGGCAGTGTGCTTCAATAAAGAATTACAGCCTTGGACACTCTATAGGGCAGTTTTTCTCTGCCCTGTGGGTCATTATGATTGGGAATTAATTCAAGAGCATTGTGTTTTTGTATACTAAAGAGGAGTTTGTTGTTAAGTGCTGTTGAGTTGCTTCTGACTCATAGAAACCCTGTATAGGGTTTCCAAAGAGAAGCTGATAGGTTTGAACTCTCCCACTGAATATCATGTTGTTGTTATTGTTAAGTGCCATCAAGTTGACTCCAACCCATAGTGACTCTGTATAGAGTTTCTGAGGAGTGCCGACCTTGCATCTAGCAGTGCAGTGCTTATTCTAAACCACACCAGAACTCCATGATGGGCATCTAATTGTGGGTGGGTTATATAATTAAGTTCTAGGAGAAAAAAAATTCACTTAGATTTCTCTAAACTTTAATTAATAATAGGATGCTATGCAGACCTCAAGGAACCCTAGTGCTTTAGTGTTGGGCTTTGTTGTTATTAAGTGCCATAGAGTTGGTTCCAACCCATAGGGACCATTTATAGGGTCTCCAAGGAGTGGATGGTGGGTTTGAACCTCCGACCTTGCAGTTCAAATTAGCTTTCAATTGAGCGCTTATCCTACAGTGCCACACCAGGACTCCAGTGTTGGGCTACTAACCACAATATTGATCGTTCTAACCAACCAGGCACTCTGTGTGAGAAATATGTGGTAGCCCACTTCCATGAAGATTAAATCCATGGGAGCTTGTGGAGCAGTTGACTCTTTTATAGGAATCAACCTAAAAGCAATGGGTTTGCATTTGGGGATGTAGATTCCCTCTCTGGAAAGCATTGCTAGTCAGAATTATTGGAGCTAATTTGATTCATTATTCCATTGTGTATAAATTGAGAGGATGAGGTCTTTTTTTCTCTTCATCTCTTTATCCTGACCCAGCTGCCTCCTAAGAGGACACGGATTTAATAAAGGTACCTTGCCTCATTAATTTTGCCCAACAGGTTGCAAGGGAAACAGAGAAAGGTGAAGTATAGGTTAAAGGGGCTCTGAGGCAAGAACATTCTCTTTTCTAATTGACAGTAGTTAAATAGGAGTCTTTAAGCAGAATAGACCAGTCACTTCTCAATATTTAGTAATAATTGTGTGTGCATGTGCAGGTTTGAGCATGTGCACTGATCATATAGCAATCTTCCCCTCTTCCCCCCATACCTGTTTATACACGCAGACCCTCTTTTTATTCCTTCCAAAGTTAAATCCAATGGCCAAATTACATGGGAAGCTTGAAATAGTCTTAACAGCATGTTAAGTAGGACTTGGAAAAAATAAGCAAGATTTCTATTTTGCAAAAAGATCCTTGTCAAGCTTTTGCATGCACTGTGTCTCTGCCAAGATTCTTTCTCTATACCCGGGCATAGATCCTGATGTCAGAAAGGCACAATGCAGGTTTATATGGCAACAAAATCATCTTTGACTTTTCTGTAATATTTCCAGCCACCTTTCATCCCATCAGGATTTATTTTTAGTTGCCTTGAGTAGGCAATCTGCCTTGTTTTGAAGTTTTCTGGAACACCCTTTAACAATAAATGATTTACTCTAGAGAGGATCAAGGGCTCTCAGTGTTGTTTCCCCTCTGATTGGGCTATTCAGCGATGCTCCAGTAGTGGTGAGCACCATCCTGCTGTCTGTGCTCCAGCGGGGTTCAGAAACATAAAGCAAGCCTTCTGTTTGAAAAAAGACAACTCCAAGTGGCATGAATAACCTTTTATCTTCAATACAGAACCATTAGGAACAGCCAT